CTAAATTCATAAAACTGGTGACAGTGGGATGTTGGACTTATTTGTCCCCTAGATTAATGGCTAATAATTGTAGTGCTGCTGATTGTGCTACTGATGTTGAAAAATCCACAACCTGATAATGGTCCCCCCTTTATGATCCATCATGCGCTCACAGGGGAAAGTAGGGGACAGATGCCATCAGCACAATAAACCGTTCAGTCTGAAGTTTGAAGCCAAGCCCTCCCTTATGTTAGAAATTTGACAATTATGAATGACTTGTGTGTTTCTTGCTCCCATATGGGGTGTGAGGAAGAGGAGGAGGGTGTAAGCTCATGAGCTCTGACATGCAGATTGGAACGATGTTGGCAAAGAGGAGGACTCAAGAGAGTGAGAAGAAAACTTGTATTCAGCCTGCTCCTGCTGTCGAACATTTGTGTCTCAATGCAATATATGCTGTATCAGACAGTGAGGTTTTTTTCTATTTTTCTTTCAGTATGGAGGTGGCATTTCTGCCTAGCCGAGGATGTATCTGGGCGGACAAGGTCAGCGACCCTGCGAGGAGGACAGGTATCTAAAAAACATGAATCTAAGACTGTATGACAGGCCAAAATGGAAAGAGAAGTCTGATGTGGTTAGAATTAGTGTTCCACAGCCTCTGCTTTTTAACCTTACACACAAATCTTCAGTGTGTGTGTGTGTGTGAGTGCAGTGTTGCACCATGCTGTCTGCTGGTGTTCCAACCAAAATACAGGCAGTTTTCTTCTTCGATCAAATGCCTTTTGCTGTCCCAGTTGTTGTGCTGCCATGCTGTGATTTAAGTGTGTACTCTGTGGTTTACGGCCTAATCACAATCCTTTCTTTGTTATGAAAGGGATTTGGGCATTGTGCAGCTACCAGAATAAGAACATTATTTGTTTTTAATGGATGTGCCATGTTAAATATGTAAGTGTTTCCTTGCTGGTGGCAAAGTCAAATGGAGGTTGATGGTAAAAGTTTACAAAAGAAAAACGTGGCAGCGCTTGGTGCGAATTTGTGGATGTGGAATCATATGTGTGTCATGTTTTGTTTAAAGTTTGAAATGACCTCAGCACAGAAAAGGAGTGTGGTATGTAAACCTTGGCATTTGAATGAGGATCTACAATGAAGGTCTGTTTGCAAAGAATGTAATTTTTTGTCCAGCTACATTGGAGAAATCCAGTTATCAAGCATGATGGCCAGTGTCTGTGTTTGTACTGAAAGCAATAAGAGGCTGCACAATGCGGTCCTGGGTCTCAGTGCCACGGAGACGCTACTTAGGCCCATCCCTGAGAGAACATATTTGTGTGATAGAGCATCTGCGATCTCATGTTGAATGCATACGAAGAGCTGAGTTCCTGCATCCCCTGCATTCTTTACCACATGAAGGTCGCAGCCCACGCAAGGTCGGAATTAGCAAAGCTGCTCTTTTGTTGGTGCACGTGTATTAAAGTGCAAATATTTATGTCTCTTTTTCGAGTGCAAAGAGAGTGAGGTTATGAATACTGTCCTGATTTAAAAGTTCTCTTAAACCCTGAACGCGATTAAGAGGAAAATCTTATTACGAAAAAAAGTGGATGATTGTGGGATAATTGCACGGGGGCAGGGAGTCCAGAGTTCACTGGAGCCGTCGAGTTCAATGCCCTATGCGAACACACTTCATTCTCCTATGGTAGTTAGTGCAGGAGGAAGAGTGCACACTCACCTCACCCCTCTCAGATTCGATGAGGGGGCTCAGATTGTCTACCTGCACCATTAAGGCTCGGTGCTGTCGTTGTAATTATATCTGGATTAACGTGTAGTTTCATGGATGTTTTTTGTGCAAAAGGAAGGAAGAATCTGTCATGACTGTCAATGAGGCATATAAACCTCTGAGGCAGATGTTTAACTTATTCTTTTTTAGCACTTTATCTTCACCCCCTCTCACTTCCTCTCCTTTCCTTCACCCTAACACCACTCTGCATCAGCTCCGTCTATTTCCAGTGTGCCGAACTGCGTTCTATAGGCACCTTCCTCTCCTCTGCGTAGTGTGAGCGCAGTTCACCCAACATCTGCTGCATCTGTTTAGTGCTGGATAGACTCCTTATACAAAGACTAACTTTCACAGTAAAGCTGAAGCAGTCAGTTACTTAATTAATCAGTTGTTTGATGGGAAAAATGTCAGCAACAGTAATGTTAATCGAATCATCATTTGAGTCATTTTTCAAGCAGAAATGCCAAACATTTGATTGTTACGGCTTCTTAAATGACACCTCGCTGCTTCTCTTTACCTTACTTACTGTGAACTGAACCTATTTGGGTGCTGGACTCGTGATTAGACAAAAAGCAGTTTGAAGACATCACCGTGGCAATCTGTAGAAAATGCTGATGGCCATTTCTCAGTTTTCTGACATTTTGAAGACAACACGATTAATTAAAAGCCGATTGAGGAGCTGTGCAACATATTTCACATTGTGCCTCCGCTGAACAACTCCTTGACTGCTGCTCACAAGGACAGCAAAAGGTCTCAAAAATATCAAACTCTCCCCCGAAACACTCTGCACATTATTCTCTTTATATGTGCACATTAGCTGTTCAGTTGACTGAAGCAAATCCAGTCAGCTCGCCGAGACTCGGATGAAAAATAATTTCTATCACTGCCAAAAATAAACATCATTTCTCAAGCAGTCAATTATACAGCTGAGATGGTAAATATTATTCATAACCTTCCATTGAAATACACAGAATAATTAACATTTGAAACACATCATTTATCATTTAAACAACAACCGGAGTGGCACCTTGTGTAAATAGTCATCTGTATTAGTAGCCATTTGGAAAAGGTCCCTCGAGACCTAAACCCTATCCGCGAATTGCGGCGCTATTACAACAGAAAATCATCCAAATCGAATTTTTAATGCATAGTAGGCTTATGCGATTATTTATCACGCTCTGCTGCAAAGTAAAAAAGTTACTTAATTCATTAATTGCTCCATAATTTATCAATGTCACGGGGCTAATGAATTACCCAAGATCTCCTGCTGAGGGATGTCATGTACGTTTTTTCATAGATACATGGTCTTGGAGGTGGGGGTGGTTGGGGGGTTGGAAGGGTGGGGGTTAGCTCCAATTAATTTCATCATCATTAGCCACAGACCTTCTGGGTTACAATAGGCTGTAGCCCCGCGGCTCACAAAACGCACGCAGAACCAAGACAACACAAAATTGCTTGTTAAGCCTATTATCCCACACTCTTGTATCTAGTTATACAATGGCTGGAAAGGCACTCACCACCACCCCCCCCCCCCCCACCCCCATATTTTAATTCAGCGTGTGGTCTCTTCTTTCTCAGATCAGTTGAAACCGCTCCAAACAAATCCTGAGCGTGTGTGTTCAGTCACTTACAACCGCTGTCTGTCAGACCTCAAGTCACCAAAAAGGGCCATTACTCGAGCGCCTCCTGAGTATGAAAACCACACGGTCATCCCCGAGGAGACGCCGACACAAACGGCTGCATCAAACAGCCATTCACCCTCACATGAAGAGTTCCACTGCACTGTTTTTTTGTGGAGCCTGCTCATTTCCTGGGCCCTGTGATGAGCGAGCTGCTCAGCCCAGGGCTTTGGGGGTAGATGGATGTTTTCAAGTTTCCTCATGTGAATCAAGAGCAGATTTCTCATTAAAGGCTGCTTTTTAATAAATCTGCTACATGAAAGAGGAGTGGATGATCCAATTTGATTGTGAGGTTGTTGGACAGAGGCAGTTCATGTTTACACATCTGGTGAAGCAGGTCAGTGAGGAGCCCTCCTCAGGGTAAAATATACACTGAAAAGTTGTAGTGCTTGATTTTTTTCCGTTAATTAGCTCAGTTAGAGAACAGAGAGCGGTGATGAGAGGTTTTTTTTCTCTCCCCACCTACAGTGTTTTTAATTATACTAGACACTAAGGTGAGATTATTTGTAATGTGCAAACAGTCTAAACGTGCTTGAAAAGTGCAATGTGGTAACTTCTGTTATGACCTGGTGCTATGTAAATAAAAAAGGACTCTTCTGAGTTCATTCCTCAGGGAAACGACCAGTTTGTCTATTTTCTGTGATGACAAATATCCCATATCTGCCTTATATATCCTGCTGATGTCCACACAGTATAGCCACATGGTCATTACCCTGCAAGCTTATGTTGCAAATACATGTCATAACAACAGAACTGTGTGACTCATGAGAAATTATTTATTATTATTTTATTATTATTATTATGTATTTTAAGTAAACCTTCTCTAGACATATATTTTTTGTGAGGACATAATATTCGATAATAATTTATTTCATACATATTCAAGTCGTGGAAGCATTTACATTTTCTATTGATATATTTTTATTCGTATTTTTCTTTGTTTTTGTGCGCAATGGCAGTTTTGGCTGAAAGTGGAGAATTACACTTGCCTACACTTTAATCCGTGAATGATCTTTTCGTGATTATTAACATTTCCTACCACAGTTATAGTCATAGTCATCAATTGTAGTTTATAAAGATGAAGGTGGCCGCAATTACGCACAGAGTAAATGAGCCTGGTGACGGACACCGGCGGCACAGCGCGCTCCGCACTCTCCCTGCACATGTGTCCGCTGGGAATAGTGATAGTGCACATGTCGTACCTGATCCGAGCGAGGTCAAAGTGAATATTACTGCCTTAATAATCATAACATGCGCAGAAAATAAAAGAAATGCGTCTGGAAGCAGTGCGCAGAGCACAATCGGTCTGCAAGAGGCAGAGATTGGAGATCAAAATCATCGTGATTCTAGTGTCAGTTCACCGTCCGCACACATCGCTCCTCACTATTTTATTCTACTCATGTCAGCGAGTTGAGAAGTTTTTGGCGCAAACGGGATGCAGGCACCTTTCCACGCCTCGTGACGCAGGGATGAATTGTGCGTTATATGGATATGTGGGTAACAAAAAGGTAATTTGGAGAAAGATGCGCGCGTGTGTGTCAGATACTTTTTGCCCACTCCCACTGTTTCCTTACCAAACACGCGGTTCCGTTGAGGAGGAGCAGGATGAAGCCGCGGTTGGGGTGCATCATTCCGGTGCGTGAAACCCAAAGCTCCCCCTCTCCGGTCGCAAAAAAAAAAAACAAGAGATAAAAAAACTCCCTCACGCGGGCTTTTCCTGCTTCAGGACGATGCTCTTTCTCCTGCACCGGTTCCCTCTCGGCTGACGCACGGTCCCATGTCCAAGGCAGACTCAAGTGCTGCTCCCACAAACATGAAAACCCGCTGGAAACCACTTGGAGTGTCCCCCCTCAACCTTCAGTTTCTGTTTTTATCCCCCCAACAATCCTGGGTTTGAGTCTCATTAGTTGGTGAGTGAGAAATCCATTTGTGGTTGGCTGTTCTCATCCATGCAGAACAAATAAAAGAGATCCAAGGCTCAGAGTGGAATGGGTTGACTGGGAGGTGGGTAGATCACATCTGGTCCTTGGTGCCAGTGGAGATCCTGGAGGGATGGAGCCTCTGCCTCCTGCACAAACTGAAGCGATGCTGAGACTGGCAAGAGCAGAACACACGTTTTAACAGTTCCCACTCTCTCTCTCCCTCTGTGTGTGTGTGTGCCTCTCCCCCTTTTCTCTCACCACATGTCTCTTTTTTCTCTCTTCCCCCTCCCCTTTTCTCTCTCTCTCTCCATCTGTCCAGCATCCCCCTTTTCTCTCTTTCATTCACGTTCTCTAATTTATCCAGCATATAATCAAATAAAAAACAACCAGTAGCTAAATAACAATAAACATCTGCTCCACTTGTATTAGTGCCTCTCTCCCTCCTTTCGAATCCCTCACCAATATTCCAGACATCAGTTTCTCAACCCACAACAGCCTGGCTCACTTATCCAACTTGGTATTTCTCATCGCCACGCAGGCCTGTCAGTGAATATCCTCACCACTGTGGGTGGGTGAAAATCATTGATTGGGAAAGACTGGGTCTGTTTTCACACCGCGCTTGTCACAACAACAACTCCAATGTCATATGGTAACAGAGGACGTGAAAGCTGGGGGGGGAATGGGTTTGTCACAAAGCCTCATCCTCATGCACGCTGTCACATCAAGCAGGTTTACAATCAGATTGTTTGTCCTCCCCCAGGGGCCAGGCGGTGATCCGCAGCCCCCAGCTGAACAGTATCGACGCACGCTGTGAGTACCGATGAACCGTTGACCGTCACCTTAGTACGGTGTGATTAATAAAAACTTCCCCCCAATAACGCATAGTTCATTAGGAGCAGGTTAATGAACTGAAATACACGCTGCCACTACGCAGGTCCCCTGACTCACAACAGCTCAATTTGTGCTTAATTAGAGTCATAGATGAGCTTCACTCTCTCCGTCCATCTCTCTCTTATTTTTCCATCCCTTACTCTCTGTCTGTAAACCCTCATCTATCTGACGGGCAGCTAAGAACGCGACCTGCTCTGAATATTTGTCATCAGGTCAGAACCTCTTCTTAATCAAAATAATCCAAACCTCTGTGATCCAATGTTTTTTTTTCTGGACCTGCTAATAATGAGTGTGGTGCTATCGGATTGTGCTGCTGTAAAAGGGTTAATTGATCTCAGTTCAGGGGTTAATTGGCTTGCAAGGGCCTAATGCTGAGGGAGCCATTCCCCTGGAGGTGTAAGGTCAGAGCAGAGGGGCCTCTGGACGAGCCCAGGCTGTGTCAGTCCGATGTGACAGAAACATCAAAGTGTATAACAGCAGGAAGTGTCAGAGACGTCTGCTCCCCTCCACCCATCCGACTGTGTGCACACATACCGATTCGCTGCTCATTATAATGCAGGAGATGCTGATGAAAGATGGGAATGAGCTCATCAACTTAGGAGGTTGCTTGATCTCTCTCCCTCTTTCTTTTTATTAGATTATTTTAGACGCTAAACGTGTCTCTGTATAATTCAAGCCAGCCTCTTCAGTTGCCCAGGGTACCAGCAAGCTCACTGGGAGAGGAAACAGCAAACCTATAAAGGGAGATCTGCTCCCCGGCCCACAATCTGAAGAAACAGCAACCATAATAAAACGCCTTTTAAAGCCGGGCACGTTCATTCAAACACACACTTTCACTCTTGCACATAATTATAGGGCCATAACTCTGTCTGTATACTCTCTGGGGAGCAGCCAGACAAGCGCCTGCTATTTTTTACTCACTTGGATTTTTAAAAAAAGAGAGAGAGAAAGCATGGTGGATGCTAAGATGCCCATCGTTTGACACCAAGATAGACTTATCCTAATGTTGTTTCACAGACGACTCGCATCACCATGACAAATATACGTGTTTGTATTTCCTTTCTATTCCATTCATCTGCCAAACTCCAATAATTGTGCTCAATCATTGCATTGCTTGACACGTAATCCTATTTCACAGTATAATTCAGTTTGAATGAGGAGCTGCAGGCGACAGACAGCCTGGTGAGATGTCATAAACCCTGACTTCAGGGTTTATTAGTGAGCATGGGCTGCCCTCTAGTGTCCTCCATCACTTTTACACCCTCAGGAGGAAGATGAAGCTTCTGTTGGTGATTACTGATGGTTGATAAGAGTCCTTTAAAGGGTCAGTTCACCAAATGTCAAATTCATCTAATGTCTCAGAAATAGTAAAATGCTGATGTTGAAGGTGGGAATTGGTCTTGGACTCAGTCCCTGAGATTTCTCCTAAAAGGCTGGTTTAGTTTGTGGTGATAACACCATTGAATATTTACATATTTACTCTTATCAATTTCCAGACTGAGTGGTCCTGTTACTCTTTATTATCCACAAATCACTGTTTTCAAATGTTTTATCTACACCTGCATACCTGTGAATATTTGAAATGAATCTATAGGATTTAAAGGTTCAGTGTGTAGAATTTAGTGACATCTAGAGGTTAAGTTTCATGTTGCAGCTGAATACTCCTCATCTCATCCTCCCCTTCTCAACATGAACGAGAACCTGTGGTGAACTTCAGTTGTCATAAAAATTAAAAAGGTTTTAGTTTGTCCAGTTTGGACGGCAGTAAAAAACATGGTGGCCTCCACAGAGAGGACCCTCCTCCATGTAAATATAACGTTATTAAATATAAAGAGCCCATTCTATGGTAAAGAAAAAAACAATTCATACAATTTAGATGAAACACACCAGTGAAACATCGCTAGGATTATTTTATATTCAATTTCTGCCAAAAATCTTGTTCACCTAAATCTTACACACTGGACCTTTAAGGATTGTCTGTGTCAGCATAAAACCACTTTTTGAAGGTATGCATACTTTCACTTTGTCAATAACCTTGCAAATTCTGCTCAACAGAATAACCCACATTGCAATATTCTGCAGTTGAAATACTGCATTTTTTTAATACACCAAAAATGAAGCAATGTTTTTTTTTCTGAGCAGTCAGCCTTTACAAATATTATTTACGGAGGGAAATAATTAAATAGAACTCCAGGATCAAGTCTGCTTTGAAGAAAAACACGAAATGTAAATAGAAGTTTTGGAGCTTTGGAAAACCTCAGAAAAACCCTCCCCAGGGTTTAACATATTATCACACCACATTTTATCAGCCTCACACTTAACAATCCAAACGTCTCTGTCCAGGTGATATAGTTTAACCGCTGTCACATAACACACACAGTTACACAGGTGATGTCAGTTAAACTCTGTGAAGGTTCAGACTTACCTGACCGGCAGCGCTGTCAGGGATTCCCTTGAATAAATCCTGTTGTAATGTCACTTTCAAATATTTGAAGCAAATGCAAACTCTGGTTTGGATCACCAATTTCATATCGTGGTGGCAGCAGCAATATCTGAGAAAAAAACAAAACATATACATGCTTTACCACTGGTTAAATGACTAAATAAATGTTGAACTGACCCTTTAAATACCTCGAATGGAAAACGTTTTCACGGACAGAGGGAATAAAACTGATGTGGCATGAATTCAGGTTTTTCCCTTCGTTTGCATTTTCTTATGGAACATTTTTTCTATTTTCAAATGAACCCCACAGTGCTAAGTCACATGTGATACAGATGTGCTTGCTGGAATGTAAATGCTGCATGTATCCAGATGTGATTCGGGGGTGAGCACCAGCAACCACTAGAGGGTGCTATAATCCAAGGAAACCCCTCAGAGTCAGTGAGCACTTCAGCCTCCTGCTGCATGGGTATCACTTGGCACCCATCAGCCATGGTAAACAGACGTCTGACATCCTGAACAGGGTTTCTCTTTTTACTGCAGCAGTTTTCTCCATTGTGGAATTGTCCATTTGTGGCTGGTGCCTCTGGTTGAGGACATAAAGATGCCATCAACCTTTTCATTTGAGTTTTTACCCCATTCCGGTGTGACGTATGATCTGCAGGGTGAAAGAACAGAATACCGCAGTAACAGCAGGAGAGGGAAACTTTAGTGTAAAGAAATGCCAGACATCCAAGCTTTTTTCCCACTTCTCCACTCAACCGTCTTAATCTTTAATCTCCACAGATATAAATAAACGAGGCACTTCAAGCTAACAATGGACTGATTGAATCTCAGTGAGCTGCTCTGTGACAGCGCACTCAGTCACCATCTCCTCTGCTAATCAGTGTCTTTCTTAGGATAGGGGACAGTGCCACAATCAAGGAACAGGTCAGGAGGGAAGCAGGAGTGATGACAGACACTGAGGCGCTGACACAAGGGGATGGAGAGATGAGAGGAGGTTTAAACGTGGATTGAGGGATGAAAAGGAGTCTGAATGGATGGAGGAGAATCAAATCTTCAGCTCTGGGGAGGTCTACAAACTCAACATCCATTAATCCTGCACAGATCCCTCTTTTCTTTATGTTTCATTTCCTCCTTTTTCACAAAGAAAAGAGAGTAAACAGTTTTCCATTTTTTGGACTTTGCTCAAAATACCAGTCTTTTCTTATCAGATGTTAAAGCATTAAGCTTTGAATATGGCTTCTGTATTGTAATGCCTGTGTAAATGTTCTCTCTTGTTGCTCTAAAAACATTCCCACAGGTTAAATATTCACTGTGCACATGTGATGTAAACTTTAAATGTACCACAGGGGGTTAATTGAGTTGCAGGAGGGAAGGGAGACATTTGGGACTTGTCAGTTCCATTATTTTCCTTTATTTTTCTCCCCTCATTGAAGAGTGGTGGATTACTTCCAGACCTTTGACTAGGAAACTTAAGACACATGAGGCTGGTTTCATGCAAATGTTCGTCCAAGTCTCTATAGCCACGCCTGTGCTCTGGCTGTGAAGGAGAAATGTTGGCTGGTGTATCGGTGTATATGCCCAGAGTCAAATAGCTTGACAACTGTTGGATGGGTTGATATTCAAAGGTTCAAAGGTTCAAAGGTTTTATTTGTCATCTGCACAACAGATACAGCGTACATGTTGGCAATGAAAATCTTAAATCCCAGGCACCTCAAGCAACTCAACATGCAAGTGTCAGAAAATAAGAGTAACTAAAAATACAAATACCATACACTAGTGCAAATGAAACAATAAGCACAAATGTCAGTACTAGTGCAAACAAATAAAACATTATA